CTATCTTCTATACGCAAATGACTGCCGTATTCAAAAATATGCTATTTTTGTATTAAAATTATGGGTTTTGTATTTTATTTTAATAGAAGTTGATGTTGATTTTGCAATTATCCATCAATTTTTTAAAATTAAACACTATCTACAGATTTGCATCGAAGCGTTTCTTATGATAGTGATTTTAATCACTTTCAGATTAAAACTATACTGGATCCAACTATGCAATGTCTCCACTATGCCGTGACCCCACTGTGCTACCGTTTTTATTAGTTTACATCTACAACGCTGCTCTTAGATGTTGTGGGTCAGGTGATAATTTTATAATAATAAATAAATAATTACTCCGTCAGTTAAATATTATTTAGCGTATATTTTCCTTGTTATGACAATATCAAATACAAAATAAAAATTAAACTTTGTTTTTCGTATGTGTGTCAATGACGGTCAAAACGAGAAGATAATGATAATTATTGTTAGTGGCCGGCGGCCTGGACCGGTTTACGCCGCCCGTCGGCCACTCCATATGGCGCGACCTGCTGGACGTAAAGGGGAAGAGCCGCGATCGCCATCCAGTGGTAAAGCTGGAGTCCCGATGCGACCGCAACATAGATTATCTTATTTTCCAGCATCCTGGAATTCATCGGTAATTGTTACAATTCTCAAATCTGGGAAATCTCCCGAAGATCCTATAGACCAATAAGTATTCTACCTGTCTTAGGTAAAATATTAGAAAAAATTATATTAAAATGTCTTTTATTTATCACTCAAAAAAATAACAACATTTCTGAATTTCAATTCAGTTTTAGAGCAAAACATTCAACTATTTATCAACTACACCGTGTTACTGATACAATTTCAACAGCAATAGAAACAAAGCAATACTGTGCCGGAGTTTTTTAGATGTGGCAAAAGTTTTTGACTCTGTTTGGCATGAAGTACTTCTATTCAAATTAAAAAACATTTTCCTCATTTAAATGAGAAAAGGAAAAAACTGAACTCGAGACTTCATTTACTAAGAACTTTGCTTAAGTCAAATAAAATTATATTGTACAAAACATTACTCCAATCACTATGGTCTTATGGCATAATAATTTGGGGATCAGAAAAAAGTTCTAACCAGAGAACAATCTAAAGTTTGCAAAACATCTGCTTATGAATCATAACCGGGGCGCTCTGGTATGTCACAAACATGGTCCTACACTCAGACCTCTATCTCAACAAAATTATAGAAATGACAAGATTATATTATAAAAAATTCTGGATGAAATTTGAATCCAACCCCATCAGACTAAATCAAATGCTGAGCGCAAACGCCTTGCCTTGCAATTCAGTAAGGCGTCTCAATAGAGAATGGTGCAGAGATTTATTATCTTTATAAATGGTTTAATCTTGTTAATGTTACGTAATTG